CAGGGGCCATAACCGAGGTTACATACAGGGAGGCAGAGCACAAGATGTCTGTCATTACTGTCAGAAGCCTGGACATTGGGCACGTGACTGTTACCACAAACAAGCTCAGGCAAACAGAGGAGGAGGACGTGGGTACACAGTACCCAACCCTCAGATGGCACCAGCAGGACAACACCCAGGCATGGAATATGTACCTTCAGACGCTGGATCTGGTAGTTATTACCAACAATGACACACCCCACAGAGAAATCAGGCCATAGGGGGAGGAGCAGACCCTATGGTACGAATAAAGGTCCTGAACAAAGACTTATCATTCCTGGTGGACACAGGGGCCACATTTTCAACTCTGAATGATCAAGACTTTTTGCAACATGCCACATTGAACACAGTTTCAGTGGTTGGATTCTCTGGGGTACAACAAAAACTGCCATTAACTGAACCCCTCCTAATTACAGCAGGTCCACAGTCGTTGACTCATCCCTTTGTTTTGTCTAAGGATGTGCCAGTTAACTTACTGGGTAGAGACTTGTTGAAAAAGATGGGAGCGACCATCTTATGTGAACAGACTGGTTTGAGAGTTACTTTGCCAAATGGGACTACTTAGACTTGTTCTGCATCTACTTCCTCTTCAACATCACAATGTCTTCTTCAACCCGTACAGGAGGAAGTGGCTGACATCTATTGGGCACTACTGCAGCCTGAATGCACAGACCACACTGGCATTTACTCAGCCTACCTGTCTTGGAAGCCTTGGGTGGACGCACTGCGTCCCTATGTTCCTCCTCTCGATCCCCCACATGTTACTCTTTTTTATGACCGAGATTCTGATGATTGTTACAGGGAACATTTTGCTCAAAATCTACAAGACACTGATTGGTTACTAATTTCTGATAAACTAATTGTAGGGACTCAAGGTGTGGCTTTTCATGTCACCCTGTCTCCATCTCAGTTGGAATGGTACAGGCTAAAGATTTAGGACCTATGGTAAAATCAGTAATGACAGCCACTGATTGGCATCCCACACAGCTTCCATCAGTTGTTTTTTCACCATCAACAGACTGCTACATCATTGATGTAAAGACACAAGATGTAGGCAGATTGGAACATGAGCTGATATCTAGAGAACATGATAGAGAAAAAACTGATCACTCTGACGTTCCCGGTATGTTGGCCACTCTCCCAACCACCCTCTGGTCCCAGGGTCCGGAAGATGTGGGTTTGGCTAAATGTGCACCCATCACATTTGAACTTCTTCAGAATGATCCTCTCTGGTTGTACCAATATGCTCATAAACCAGAGGCAGAACAGGGCCTGACAGACACAGTTCATGGTCTGTTAAATGCAGGAGTACTGGAACACTCATACTCAGAATGGAACACACCTATTTTACCTGTTGAAAAAGTAGGCACAGGAAAATACAGAATGGTACAGGACCTTAGGTCAATCAATGCTATCCTTAAGACACCCACCTGCCCGGTTCCAAATCCTTATGTAGCATTGACACAGTTGCAACCTCAGCAAAAATGGTTTACATGCATTGACTTAGCAAATGCTTTCTTTTGTCTTCCCCTGTCAGAGGAAGTGCGAGACATCTTCTCTTTCACATTTAATGGTCAGCAGTACCGTTATACTCGTCTACCTCAGGGCTTTGCGCTTTCTCCTGGTCTGTTCAATCAAGTTTTGAAAGATATACTTGTCTCTCTTCCACTCCCACTTGGTACAACATTGTTGCAGTACGTAGATGATCTCTTAATCACATCAGAAACAGCACAGGATTGCCTTACAGCCACACAGGCTGTCCTACTTCATCTCCATGACGCGGGTTTCAAAGTCAGCAGATCTAAACTTCAAGCCGTTCGTACACAGGTCTCCTTCTTGGGTAGGCTGGTCTCAGCGAGAGGCACAACCCTCTCCCCTGAACACAGAGCTTCAATCTTACATCATCCTAAACCCACAACAGTTCAGGATATGTTATCTTTTTTAGGCCTAACCGGGTACAGCAGGCATTACATCCCCGATTACAGTGAACTAACCACACCCCTTCGCGATATGGTCAAAGAACAAGGCATGAGAAAGTTAAAATCTAATCTGGTTTGGACGGTTGAAGCAGAACAGGCGTTTATCGCCCTTAAACAACTCTTATCTAGAGCCACTGACTTGGCCCTGCCAGATTACACGCTACCCTTTCATCTTGATGTTTCTGAAGCAAAACATACCATTAATGGCGTTTTGTTTCAGAAAAAGGGGGGAGACAGACACGTCCTGATGTACGCTAGTGTGCTGATGGATGTTACTGAAAAGCGCCATCCGTCATGCACGCAGGTGGCAGTGGGATTGAGTAAGATTGTTTCAAAAACCGCACATATAGTGATGGGTCATCCACTACACATTTTGACATCACACAACATCGTGGCTTATGTCAACTCTGAACTTTTCACAATGACCTCCTTGAAACAAAGACGCATGAGTAACATTTTAGCCGCACCAAACTTATTATTCCTACATGAAAGGATAAACATGGCCGATGGATTGAACACAACACACACACATGACTGTGTACAGAAGGTTTATAAAGAAGAGATTAGCTCATGTGGGAAGCAGACAAATGCTCAGGAATCTTCAACAATGGTGGCACCCTCATTTAAATGATATGATAACTGAACACATTGGAACCTGTAAAGTTTGCTTACAGTACAATATTCGACCAGCTGTTAAACCGGAACAACTAACATTTCCACTCCTATTCAGGCCAGGACAGGAGATAATTATAGATTACACTGACATGCTGGAACCTGTTAAAGGTTACAGATATGTGCTGATGTGTGTTGATACCCTCACAGGGTGGCCAGAAGCCATACCTGCAAGAAGAGAAGACAGCAAAACTGTTATTAAGTTTCTGATTAACCATTACATTCCCAGACACGGATTCCCTGAAAAAATCAGATCAGACAATGGAACTCACTTTAAAAACACAGACCTGCAGGCTGTGGAAAAAATGTTAGGCCTAAAACATGTGTTTGGGACCGTGTATCATCCTCAGTCACAAGGTAAAGTTGAAAGAATGAATCAGAACATAAAACAAAAATTAAGTAAAATCTGTGCACAGACTAAATTGAATTGGGTTGACGCATTACCAATCGCACTAATGACAGTAAGAACTTCTGTTAATAATGGAACTGGCTTTTCTCCCTATGAGTTAACCACAGGTCGACCTTTTCCTGGACCACATGCGTGCTCACTGACCAGTGAGGAGGATCGTAAGATGGACCATAAGGTATACTTTCAAGAGTTAAAAGCATTGGTGTCTAACTTTACTCAGCAGGTACACAACAAGCGGAGTCCGACTGAGGAGCTAAAGGAACCAGCCCTCCCCACTGCGGAGTGGGTATTGCTGAGGGTTATTAAAAGGAAGTGGCAGGAGCCCCGGTGGACGGGCCCCTTTCAGGTGACGGAGCGAACATCTCATGCAGTCCGCCTGAGAGGAAAGGGGGACACCTGGTACCATTGGAGTCAGTGTGCCCTAGTTCGAGAACCAGGAAGGAGTTAAGGATTTGTGCCAAGGAATCGAAAACTGGACTCTCACATCTTGGTAGACCAAAGCAGCCGAGTATAGTTGCGTGCCGGCCCGGAAGGACTTTGTTGAAGGGGGCCACTCGGTGCTGGAATATTCACACATAGTACAGACACAGAATCGACAGAAACACTACATAATTAGAGTCTCACATTCCACGAAGAAAACTCAGAGACATAGGAGGATTCAATATCTCTGAGCACCCCAGGGGAATGCCCCTGAGTACGTGTGGCACATTCTGATGTCGTACTAATATTTTATTGACATTTTGATTTTTTTTTAACCTCTTGAAGCATTTTTTGATAACAATTTTCATATCAATAATTTTGTACTCTCTTTTTGTGTGTTCAAGGGAGACAACTGCCTTGCTGCTGGAGGAGGAATTGAAGTCTTATAAGTTTGTCATATATATTATGAGTTTTCGTTCGTACCACTAGCCTACACTTGCATTTATATTCTATATGTTCACTTGACATTTTGTATTGCATTTTATTCAGATTTTAAATTCTTCATTTTTATAAAAACTTTACTAATATACGTCTTATTTTTACACTTAAAATATACATTTTATATTTTGTCCAAATCTGATTACTTGTGGTTGCTGTTGCATCCCTTGCCTGAGGTCACTGACAGTGCGCCTTATCACATCCACTTTAGAGAAGAGAGACCCAGAAATCACCCGTCAACTCCTCATGCGGAGAGGGTATGACCTTGAGGACTTTGAGGTGGTTCCTCGCCGCCGCAGATAGATTGCAGATTTTATTTCAAAGGTTTGGACCTCTGGTTAAGAGGTCCAAAGGGGGAATTGTTGTAAAATAAAATCTGTTTCTGCTTGTACAATTTCTAAAGCTTAAAGTGTGACTAGTATACTTCCTGTTTCTTATTTATGACAGCACCCACCCAACCGGACTTTGCACAATACACGTTGAGCAAGTGAATATTCTAGAAGCTAGAGTGAGTCACTGCCCTATACACGTTGAGCAAGTGAACATTCTAGAAGCCTTGACCAAGCACCGCCCTAATTTAGACTATAGCTGAGCAGCACTTCCTCTTTCAGCAGACAACGCAGAGCAAGGGCTGACTTCAGATCACTCTTACAGGTTGTATCGTTTGTCTCCATTGAATGCGCATTCAATGTTTTATTTTGTACTTTAACTAACATTTAATCAAATACAAAAGTAATCTGTGACTGTTAATCATTTAATTTATTAAATTTGATTATTGAATTTAAAGAGAGCGCGTCTGTCATGTTTCAGTGTCTGTACTTCCTTGATCCACAGTAAAACCAAACAACGAACTTTGGGGCGGATAGAGTGAGTCGATTTACGCCAACACAGGACAGTATTTTGGATATGACAAACTTCACGGAAGATGAAAGCGAAGCAGCCAACCAGCGAACTCTGCAACAAACTTCCAGGCTTCTCCCAAAGGCTGTGAAGATTTCCCTCTCCATCCATCTCCTGCTATATCACAAAGGATTTACGAGTAGACAGCTCAATGGAAGGTGAGAGGTTCAGGTTTATTTTTAATACGATGGATTCAATGTACGTTATTCCTTCATGTAGATTTTTTATTTTTTATTTTTTGCGCGATAAAGCAGCACCACAACTTGAAACTACGGATGGGAGAAGCTCTGATGCAGCTGCAGCTCAAAGGTAACCGTTTTTTCTCATATTATACTAAAACTTATAGACAAGTTATACAACAAACTTTATGCAATTTGTCTTTTTAACAGGTTGAAGAGGCCAGATGAGACACATCTCCTGGAGCCAGTTCTAAATGATACAGTTTATGGTTTATAAATTTATAGTTCTGAAGAGATTTTGTGCAAACTTGCACAGGTTTTGAAATTTTGTTAAAGATTTACTAAATATGAATCAATATGGTTAAGACTGTGAAGTCTGTATATTTCATATTAGGTTAAGTTTTGAAAATATAACAAATGTTAGAACAATATGATTAAAAATAACTGAAGTCTGTATTTTATGTTGAATTAAAGTTTAATATACTATGGTAGGCTGAAGTCTGTTTACTTTTATATTTATATATTTTGAATTATTTGTCTGTGATGGACTGGAGACCTGTCCAGGTGTCCCCCGCATCTCACACAGTGATGGCTGATATGGGCACCAGTGATACCAGTGACTCAAAAAGGAAGAAGTGGATGAAGATGATGGATGGAAGAATTATTTTTTCGTAGATTTGGATTTTTTTTTTTAGAAAAATTCAGGCAACTAAGCTAACCTAATACTGGTAATTTAAGTTACAGAATTTTATACAGTCCTATATTTTTTCCTATTTTTGGTATAAATATAAAATGAATTTAAAAAATTGATACAGTAAGGAACCTAAAATGATTTTTAAATAAATGGTCTATTGGTTTACATTGTTGTTTAATCTTTTCAGCTTGTCAGCTACATAATTGAAACAAAATGTATGACCATTTCAATAGAAAAATCGTTTCTGAATCGAAAATCGTTTTAAAATCGAAATCGTTTTAAAATCGTATCGTGACACCAAAAATCTGAATCGAATCGGATCGTCGGATACCGAGAGATTCGCACCCCTAGTGACCATTGATGTCAGAAGCTTTTTTAATGTGATGTGTGTGTGGTGGTGGGGGGGGGGGTCCTCCTCCAGAAAATTTTGAATAATGTAGATGCCATTTCCTGCATTTTGGTGAATTTTAATGGGCTGTCTAACATTTAGTTTTGCCTACATAAGTAACACTTGATTCAATAACTATTTTAGAGTTAATGGCACAACAAGAAGTAGCCTGACCAACAGCTCTCCTTGTGTGAATAGAGCACGCTCCGCTTCTCTCATGCATCCTAGCCAGCACAAGGATTCTTCCATCTATTACTCTCAGGTAGACGATATAGGAGTCTGCCATTGCGCACAAAAAGACTCAAAGACTCAAAAACAGTTATCCACAAGCTGTCAGATTACTGAACTCTCATTAAATAACACTGAACAACTGACAATAACTTTGCACCAAGCCACATCTGTGACAACTAATGACTAATATTAGCTTGTGACTCCTAATATTTTATTGCTAATGCATTATGTGGCTGTATCATGTATGTCACTATCTTACCATCATAATTCATTTCCATGTTGCTCTCTACCTGTACAATAATTTGTCACACAACCTGTGTAGTTTGTTAGTTATGTGCAGTATATATCATGTGAATTTAAGCTTATATTACTACCTTGAAATACTTATTCATACAAATTCATCCTACTTACACCATTATATTCTACCATGTTGTTTACCATTTTACTTTAGGACCTTGTAAATATTGTATTTACTTTTTCAATTTTTGGTACTTATTGAATGCATTTGTAGTTCTTGTTTGTTTGTTCATTGTTTTAGTGAGTCAAATCCGTTCTTCTCATCCTGAATATTTTATTGTACTGTTAATCTTGTGTTAACCTGCATATGACAAATAAACATAACCTGAATTAAGCATTAATCTTTAATTTAACCATTAAGCATACAATGTAATTATGACAGAAAATGGAGGATTTACCTACAGTTACTTTCGAAGAGATGAACATGTGGAAGCTACTTCCTGTTTATAACTTGTGATCAGCTGATGGGGTTGGTCCCCGGCTTTTTACGTGTTTTCCAAACTCCGTTTAATTTTTGAAAAAGAATAAACTGTATCCCACCCTCTAAACGCTCAGGATAACACGTGTCTGGATTACCTGTTCTCCACTGACACCATTTAACCATTTTGTTCTGGTGATTTTTCACAAACCCCTCTGACTGTAAAGCGTCCTGGCTACAGGCAGCCCCATATCTGCAGGTAAGGGGCGTTTACCTTCGAGACAAATTAAGGTTACCGATTGGTCATTTGTTGCCACGCCTACTTGATTGATTGACAGGTCGCGCAGCGGAGCCGACTTGTGGGAAAAAAAACTATAGCTGCATCCCTGCGGTGGAGGCAGGGTGGCCCAGGAGCAGCGGTAGCGTGTTCTGTGTTTATATGTTGTTAATAAAAAGTTCTAAAAAATAAAAAAAATAGTGAGGGCAGGCCCTACAGCTCACAAATCTGACTGGCCCACCGGGAATTCTCCAGACCCTCCCGATTGGCCACTCAGGGCCTGGGTAGAGGCAATGGAGAGCTGCAACAGAGCCTGTACAACAGTGAAACCAAGTTCTCCCAGGCCAGAGGGGAGCCACTAGGAGGACTTGATGCCCCTCATGAAGGACTCTCAGGAGTGTTGGGCCCATCAGAGGAAGTGGCAGAAAAGAATACAGCAGCACCCTGGGCCAGTCGTGTGCCAGTGCATCCTGACCTAGGGGACTGGCATTGCCTGCCAGAGAGAACCAAAGTGGGCAGTGTGTCGTCTCTTGAGATGCAAACAGGTCCACAGCTGCCTTGCCGTACCTCTCCCAAATTAACCTCACCACCTCCGGATGGAGCCTCCACTCTCCAGGTGGTGGGCATACCTGAGACAGAAAATCGGCCGGCCCATTCTGCACTCCTGGTATGTGGGCTGCCCTCATGCTGGCAAAGAGGGGGGCTGCCCAAAGTAAGAGCTTCTGGGTCAGTAGCAGCAATGTCAGCAACCATGTTCCCCCTTGATGGTTGACATAGAAAACCACAGAAGTATTGTTGGACCGCACCAGGACATGCTTCCCGCGCAGGCCTGGGAGGAAGTGTTTCAGTGCCAGCCGCACAGCATCCAGCGCCAAGGCATTGATGTGCTTCGCCTTTTGTCATGGAGACCATGTTCCTTGGGCAATCTGTCACAGCCACGATACCCCCTAACCTGTGGTGGATGCCTGCGTACAAACAACCTTCCTCCAAGACGGCAGAGAGCCCAGTGGGACCCCCTTCACCATAAACACTGCATCTTGCCACTGACCAAGTGACACGAGGCATTGAGGGGACACCAGTAACCTCTTGCGTCGGTGCACTGCACGAGTCGGATCCAGGAGCAGGCTGTTGAGCTACATCTGTAGGGGGCACAGAGGCAACAGCCCCAGAGGTACCACTGTAGAGGCAGCAGTCAACTTGCCTAACAGGTGATGGTACGCAATGAAGGAGGGTGCATAGCTGGGCAGGAAGGCGGGCAGCATCTGCAGAATCCTGCAGACACGCTGTGGTTATGGGCAAGCCACCATGGTGAGGGAGTTCCTCGAGGTTCCCAGGAACGTGACCTCCTGAGAGGGAATTAGATTGCTCTTCTGCCAGTTCGCACGAAGACCCAATAGGTCTATGTGATCGAGCCACATCTGTGTGTCCGCAGTTGCCTGAGCTTGTGTTGGCGCACAGATCAGCAAATCGTCCGAGTAGGGCAGGATCTTCAACCCCTTGACCTGCAGTGGGTACAGGGCTGCTGCCACACACCGGGGGACACGCAAGAGGGACAGAGAAAGACCAAATGGAAGAACTCTGAATTGAAAATGCTTGCCATAAAATGCAAAGTGGAGAAACTGCCAATGGTGCTGCGCAATCGGTACATGACTGTAACTTCTCAATGACGACACGCGGGCACGGCTTCTTTATTTGAAACGGGCGCTTTAATGAATGCTGTGAAAACTACAGAAACAAGACAGAAAGTACATAAGTAAAACAAAAGGTTTCAGGTACAGTACTGAGCGATGAGTAAAACGTGCTTTAACAAAGAAATACCTCATGGCCGCTCGTCGTTAAAGAAGTCCTAAGCGAATGTTTCTCATCTTGAACATTCTAAATAAGCATATAAAACATCAGAACACCATAACTGACAGATGTACAATGTGTCACAACAGTTATAAATACCTTTACAGTTAGCGAACTATCGAGGCTGCTGCACGCCTCTCGTGTCCTCAGGTAACTGCATGTAGCTTCAGGTAAATGTGTGTGTGTTGAGCACAAAAGATCTCGCCACTCTCTTCCATTCACACAAATCTCGCGATAACAGTACAACCAAAAAATAGTCCTTCATGACAGAATGAATGCATCTTATACAAAATAAAACATATTTCACAGTGTGAACTAAACAAACTAAAAACAAAATATTCTAACTACTGAAAACAAATATGAACCCATTTGAAACATAAATCAATCATTGTGGTGACACTTACAATGACAGTATGCATCCTTCAAGTCGACCAAGGTGAACCAGTCGCCTGGAAAGACTGCCTAGAGCGTATCTCTGATGCTCAGCATGTGGAAAGGAATAATTTTTAAAAACACATTCAGACCTCTCAGGTCCAAAATTGGCTGTAGTCCACCAGTCTTTTTTGGGACTAAAAAATGCTTAGAATAAAAGCCCCCTGGGTCCTGCAGGTGGTCGACAGGCACTATAGCAGCCTTGGCCAGCAAGGCGTCTATTTCGTGGTTCAGTGCCTGAGCTTTCACATGGTCGTGAATGACCGTCATTCTGACCTGACCAGGAATGGGAGGACGGCGGCAGAACTGTAGCATGTAGCCCCGAGATAGTGTTGACACAACCTATGAATCGGGCACAAGAATGGCCCAGCGGTTGAGTTGAAAAGGGATAAAGTGTCCCACCCCCGCTTCCAAATGTCATTTCCGAGTTCCCCTGCCTTTAGGAGGGTGGGAGGGATGCCAAGAGGGCTGCCCGCATTGAAGAGGAATGGGAGCGTGACCTCTGGGCAGAGCCCTTTGGCCCTGCAGCAGGCCGCGGCTGCCCCACGGAGGGTGTAGGTGGGGCCGGATAAGTGCATGAGGAGGACACAGAGGCACCTCCAGCAGGACGCTGAGAGTGTCTGCAATGAAGGCCGGC